CAAGGTTAGTGTTCTCTCTCTTCATACTGTACTGAACTGTACTTTGTTTCATATTTTTGTGGTTAAATAAAATTCATATGGTTCAGAACGGATTAACCTTATTTACATTGAACCTTATGGGGAAATTTGATTTGGTTGGTGACCAATTCTGTTGGCGACCACATTTGTAGGGGTCAGAACAGATTAACCTTATTTACATTGAACCTTATGGGGAAATTTGATTTGGTTGGTGACCAATTCTGTTGGCGACCACATTTGTAGGGGTCAGAACAGATTAACCTTATTTACATTGAACCTTATGGGGAAATTTGATTTGGTTGGTGACCAATTCTGTTGGCGACCACATTTGTAGGGGTCAGAACAGATTAACCTTATTTACATTGAACCTTATGGGGAAATTTGATTCGGCTCGCAACCAGAATCGTGGAACGAATTAAGTTCGTGAACTGAGGTACCACTGTAATTATAACTGGAGAAGGAGAAAAATTCACAGAAAGAATACCTGTTACTGTCAAAGTTACATTGTAGACTGGATATCTGACAAATGACTTATGCTCCACAGTACAACTATAGACGTTTCCTTGATCTTGTGAAGATGGTTGAAGTCTCAGTTTACTGGTGATGTTGAAAGTGCCATCACCATTTCTCACAGAAGTTTCTGTGCAAATATCTTCTGCAGATACACTTTTATCCAATGTGTGCTTAGAATGCTTTTGCCAGAGAATGACAATTGAATTAGGATAGAACTGATTCACAATACATGACAATGTCTTTTCCTTGTCTTTTTCTATTTGAAGTTCCTTCGGAGACAGTTTGACACTTGGTTGAGCTATATTGCAGTTGAATAAAATAGAATTGGTTATTGATTTTCCTGCGTTTCTTGTATTTTTATTTCGCCTTTCAGCCCCCCAAACAGCAACTGCAACTGCACTTAACATTCAATTCAAATAATAGCTAAAATGAAAAGAAATGACACTACAAGTTTTCCAAAGAACATGATCTTAAG